AGCAGAGCTTCCCCTCATTTACTAAGATGTGGAGCAACAAAGTGCACAGTCTATTTGCCTAGAAAATCAACTCCAATGTGTTTACATTGATCCGCTTCAGCACTGCTAAGGAGTAATGGGGTCGATTGAGAAATAGACTGTGCACTTTGCAGTTGCTCCACAGCTTAGTAAATGAGGTGAAGTTTCACTTTGCAAAGAATATCCAATCACAGGCAAGGGACAAAAAAGAACAGCATGTTCGCTTGTAAATGATTGGATGATGGAAGTCAGAAGACATCCACTAAGCTCTGGAGCAAGTGCACTTTGCAAAGTGCACAGTCTATTTGTCTTTAGTAAATCAACCTCTAGATCTTGATAAAGGCAAATAGACTGCACTTTGCAAAGTGCAGTTGCCCCAGAGCTATAAATGAGGGGAAACTTCTGACTTCCATCATCCAATCATATACCAGCGAAAACGCTGTTCTTTTTTTTGTCCCTTGCCTGTGATTGGATATTCTTTGCAAAGTGAAGCTTCATCTCTTTTACTAAGATCTGGAGCAATTGCACTTTGCAAAGTGCACAGTCTATTTGCCTTTAGTAAATCAACCCCATTACTCCTTAGCAGTGCTTGTAGCAGATCAATGTAAACACAATGGGGTTGATTTTCTAGGCAAATAGATTGTGCACTTTGTTGCTCCACATCTTAGTAAATGAGCAGAAGATCTGCTGACTTCCATCATCCAATCATATGCAGATAAAAAAAATGCTATTCTTTTTTTTTTTCTTCCTTGCACGTGATTGGATATTTTTTACAAAGAAAACTTAATTTACTAAGCTCTGGAGCAACTGCACTTTGCAAAGTGCACAGTCTATTTGCCTTTAGTAAATCAACCCCATTGGGTATCCAGCTCTAGAGGCTGATTTACTAAAGGCAGTTGCTCCAGATCTTAGTAAACGAGGGGAAGCTCTGCTGACTTCCCTCATCCAATCATGTGCAATCAAAAGTGCCTTTTTTTCAGTTTTCCTTGCACGTGATTGGGTACTCCTTGCCAGTGAATCGTTATCTCATTTACAAAGCTCTGGAGCAATTGTTGTTGCAGAGGCTCCCTGGACTCAGATCTCTAAACCAACGGATCAAAGATGAGGCCACCTTCAAGCAGCATTGACCAACGGATGTCTGAGGTCCAGCACCCAAACGCATCATCGCCGACATTATTATGTTGCAGTAGAACGTATGAAAGAATCTGATTGGTTGTCACCGGAAATCAGAACCATTCTTCGCCCTACGCGTTCTATCACGAGGCCCTAATGCAGGCCATAGACAGGTTGAAAATCAGTCGATTTTCGCACCATTAGTGGGTTAATTGGTCGGCTGTTTTTTGGGGTTTTGGCACATTTTTTTTATCGGTAAAGTTGGAAAATTCACGGCTGATTTTGCTGATCGGCTGATTTTCCCGGCAATGATGGGCAAATTGATTGATCGTTTTATCGATAAAAAAATCTGCGCATGAGCCGTGACCTGCAAGAAAAAGAAGAAGAAAAGAAGAAGAAGAAAAAGAACAAGAAAAAGAAGAAGAAGAAAAATAAGAAGAAAAAGAAAAAGAAGAAGAAGAAGAGGAAGAAGAAGACAAATAAGAAGAAGAGGAAAAAAAAGAAGAAAAGAAGTAGAAAAAGAAGAGAGGGAAAAAGAAGTAGAGGAAGGAGAAGAGAAAGAAAAAGAAGTAGAGGAAGAAGAAGAAAAAGAAGAAGTAGAGGAAGAAGAAGAAAAAGAAGAAGAAAAGTAGAAGAAGAAGAAGTAGAAGAAGAAAAAGAAGAAGAAAAAGAAGAAGAAAAAAGAAAAATAAGAAGAAGAAGAAGAGGAAGAAGAAGAAGAAGAGGAGGAAGAAGAAAAAGAAGAAGAAGAAAAAAAGAAGAAGAAAAAGAAGAAGAGAAAGAAGAAAAAGAAGAAGAAGAAGAAGTAGAGGAAGAGGAAGAAAAAGAAGAAGAAGAAGAGGAAGAAAAAGAAGAATTCCAGTCCGCTATTATATTTTACATGGAAAAGTCATGCGGTTGCAACATTGTATCTATTTGTATCCGAATAAAAACATCTGTATCCAAAATGGATACAAATAGATACATTGTTGCAACCGCATGACTTTTTCCATGTAAAATATAATAGCGGAGCTCTCTGCAGGGACAGAAGTAAAAATGCCGGCTGTAGACGGGACGAAAATCGGACGATTTTTTTACCGTTGGTGGTAAGGTCGGTTAATGGAACAACAGATTTTTTTTTTTTTAAACGGCTGGTTTCATCTATGGCCTGCATTGCGCACGTGTCTTCAGGGTCAAGCGAGGCCTAGATTCTACCAGCTACTGAAAAAAAAGCAGAAGAAGAAGCTTGGCCCTCCATTTTCAGCATTTTCAGGCCTGCGAGTCGCGATAATACATTGTTCCTTCCTAATGTCAGCCTATAAATTATAGATCTGGCGCGCGTTCTCCGCCTTGAAAAAAGTCCAGTTTCCGCCAGTCGAGCGCATCATTAATCGCTGTCCCGGTGAAGCCGCCGCGTCCAGGTTTTGTTTTGGAATGTTCTAGGCACCTGTTATGTCTGAAGTTATTATCTCGTTGCCTCAGTCCCGCTGAATAAACGCACCGAACGGATGCTGAGCCGAAAAAAATGAAGATTGACAGAAAAAAAAATCCCCCAGATTGTATTTTGTCAGCGATGATAAACATGTTATTCAGACTGTGGGGTCAACATAACATTCAGATGTGTATGGAAGGATGGGGGGGGGGGGGGTGTAGGGGGGGGGGGGGGGGCGCTCCTCATCCTGGACATTTCTATTCCATTGACTAGAATATGGAGAAGATTTACATCAGTCACCAATCACATAAAAAGAAAAAGAGTGACCTGTGAGATTCTAGGAAATGTATAGACGTTGGACATTGTCGGGATTGATGGCAGAGAAGATCCTCCGACTCTTATCAGGACCAATGATGATGTCTGGAGAGGAAGAGAGGTGAGCCAACATCAAATGTCTATGGGACGGGATGGCGCCGTATGTCTGGTGACTGAGGCACCCATTACAGGGTCAGTCCGCCTACAAGAGATTTTACAATGTTTAATAGATACTGGAGAGTTATTATGAGGGGTTCCCACCATCCCTGTGCTGAGTTCCCGGGTCTGTACACCCGCTGTGCCCATTATGAGGGGTTCCCACCATCCCTGTGCTGAGTTCCCGGGTCTGTACACCCGCTGTGCCCGTTATGAGGGGTTACCCACCATCCCTGTGCTGAGTTCCCGGGTCTGTACACCCGCTGTGCCCATTATGAGGGGTTCCCACCATCCCTGTGCTGAGTTCCCGGGTCTGTGCCCATTATGAGGGGTTCCCACCATCCCTGTGCTGAGTTCCCGGGTCTGTACCCCCGCTGTGCCCATTATGAGGGGTTCCCACCATCCCTGTGCTGAGTTCCCGGGTCTGTACCCCCGCTGTGCCCATTATGAGGGGTTACCAAGAGATATATATAAGAACAGTGCGGCGCTACAATGAATATAAACAGAGGTATACAAACACAATCAATTAATACGAATTATGGCCCAAATCACCAAAAACATACATGGGGAGTGCAGACTATAGATATTACACACTCAGCCAGGGGTCTCATGCACTGTAGTGATTTCAACGCAGTTTAGTGGATAGTGTCCATGTGCATTTATGAATTACATGCAGATGTGAACTCTAGGGGCCAATCCTCAATAGGTGGAGTGCCCCCTCACCTTCCTGCCCAGGCCCCTAAGGACCAAGGAGCCTTGGTATATAGTAAGTATCTCTCCTGGAGCTGGATGCATCTCTCGAGGAATGATTATTATTATTATTATTATTATTACTACGAGTTTATATAGCGCCAAAGGGTTTGCTCAGCGCTGTACAATAGGGGGGACAATACATGGCACAGTACAACAACAACAAACAACGTACGAGGGGTAAGAGGGCCCTACTCTTACGAGCTTACAATCTAGGAGGGAGGGGGTAAAGGTACAGTAGGAAGTGGCTGAGGGGGATGAAGTGGTGGGAGGAATGAGGGAGGATGGCCGTTAGGTGAGGGTGGGGTAGGCTTCCCTGAAGAGATGGGTTTTGAGGGAGCGCCTGAATGTGAATAGGGAAGGCGACAGTCTGATGGATTGGGGCAGTGAGTTCCAGAGGATGGGGGAGGACCTGGAGAAGTCCTGCAGTCGTGCATGGGAGGAGGAGACCAGGGAGCAGGATAGAAGGAGGTCCTGTGAGGAGCGAAGGGTACGGGTAGGGTGGTACTTGGTGATCAGGTTGGTGAGGTAGTCAGGGGCAGTGTTGTGAACGGCTTTGTAGGTCAGGGTTAGGAGTTTAAATTTGATGCGTTGGGCAATCGGGAGCCAGTGGAGGGAGAGGCAGAGGGGGGTGGCAGAGGTGGAGCGGGTGGTGAGGTGGATGAGTCTGGCAGCTGAGTTCAGGATGGTCTGGAGCGGGGAGAGCCTGCACTTGGGTAGGCCAGTGAGGAGGGAGTTGCAGTAGTCAAGGCGTGAGATGATGAGGGAGTGTACTAGAAGTTTGGTGGTGTCTGGGGTAAGGAAGGTACGTATCTTGGCAATGTTGCGAAGATGGAGCCTGCATGTGTTTGTGAGTGATTTGACATGAGGTTGGAGGGAGAGGTTCGCGTCAAGAATGACGCCAAGGACTTTGGCTTGCGGGGCGGCAGTGATAGTGGAGTTGTTGGTGATGATGGATAGGATGGGGGGGGGGTGTTGGCAGGGGGAAAGACGAGAAGAATGATGGTGGGACCCCCTTCTTGTCTCTATCCTCGATCGTAGGTGGTATAGATATTTGCCCCTCCAGAATGGTCACCAGTAAGGCAAGAAAAGCTTATATAGTGTAAAACCGTTTATTGGAAAAATAGTTAAAAGGAACAAAATCCTACTCACACTTTACTTCAGTAAAAACAGGCCTTCACACCACTCAAAGGGTGTACTGCATACAAGGAACAAGGAGCACCAAGATGGCGCCCGCGCCGGATATGACATCAAGCCGTCAGTCGCTGGAGCTCCTCCCACTGGCGTATCTACGCGTTACGTCACTTTGGTCACGTGACTTCATCAGGATATACGCCTATCCTGGGTGGAGCACTCATTTATCTACCTTTTCAGCCAATCATTATGAGGGGTTCCCGCCATCCCTGTGCTGAGTTCCCGGGTCTGTACACCTGCTGTGCCCATTATGAGGGGTTCCCACCAGGGGTGGACTGACCATTCGAGCACTCGGGCAGTGCCGGCCATCAGTACCCACCAGTGCTACCCGCCAGTGACCATCAGTGCCGCCCAGCAGTGCCCAGCAGTGCCACCAGTCAGTGCAGCCAGTCAGTGCAGCCAGTCAGTGCTGTCAGTCAGTGCCACCTCATCAGTGCTGCCTATCCGTGCCACCTCATCAGTGCCCATCCGTGCCACCTCATCAGTGCCCATCAGTGCCACCTCATCAGTGCCCATCAGTGCCACCTCATCAGTGCTGCCTATCCGTGCCACCTCATCAGTGCCCATCAATGCCACCTCATCAGTGCCCATCAGTGCCACCTCATCAGTGCCCATCCGTGCCACCTCATCAGTGCCCATCAGTGCCACCTCATTAGTGCCCATCAGTGCCACCTCATCAGTGCTGCCTATCCGTGCCACCTCATCAGTGCCCATCAATGCCACCTCATCAGTGCCCATCAGTGCCACCTCATCAGTGCCCATCAGTGCCACCTCATCAGTGCCCATCAGTGCCACCTCATCAGTGCTGCCTATCCGTGCCACCTCATCAGTGCCCATCAGTGCCACCTCATCAGTGCCCATCAGTGCCACCAAATCAGTGCCCATCAGTGCCACCTCATCAGTGCCCATCAGTGCCACCTCATCAGTGCTGCCTCTCCGGGCCACCTCATCAGTGCCCATCAGTGCCACCTCATCAGTGCCCATCAGTGCCACCTCATCAGTGCCCATCAGTGCCACCTCATCAGTGCTGCCTCTCCGGGCCACCTCATCAGTGCCCATCAGTGCCACCTCATCAGTGCCCATCAGTGCCACCTCATCAGTGCCCATCAGTGCCACCTCATCAGTGCCCATCAGTGCCACCTCATCAGTGCTGCCTATTAATGTAGCCTCATCATCGCACATCAGTGAAGGAGAAAAATGACCTGTTTGCTAAATTTTATAATAGAAGCAAAGAAAACTTTTTTTTTTTTTCAAAAAAACGTTCTGTCTTTCTTCCTTTATAGCGCAACAAATAAAACCCCAATTCCTTCAAAGTTACTGAGCCACCTACCTCTAAAAGGGCAAATCCTAAGACTGTCTGCCCCTTCAAATACACTACATAGGGCCTAGGCCAACCCCACCCCTCCCCCGCCTTGCTGTTACGTCCAAAATCAATTCCTCCTCCAAGGCAACCAGACTTTTTTGGGCAGCTCCACACTCTGCAATCTGCATTGAAACGCCATTTATATAGACCTGCTGCCTCGCAACCAGTAAAGTGTATGAAAAGTACTATGAATGGAGGAGGGGCAGATGAATAAATGCTCCACCTCCTCCATTCACCAGTTTCAGTGTGGTCAGCAATGGTAGAGCATTTAAAGTTCAAACCAAAAGGGGAAGCCCCGCATTAAAGATTGGTCCCCCGTTCCCATTAAGGATTGGCACCTGAGGGGGGGGGGGGGCATCATTGTTCAGACAGGCGTCATTCACTGTCACCATCTACTTCCTGGACTGAGGACCTTTCCTGAGAGACTAAGGAAATGCTTCCTCCTGCCTCCTACAAAGTTACAATGTACAGTCTGATCACTGGGGGAGGGGAGACTGAGGAAATGCTTCCTCCTCAGGGGCGGACTGACCATTTGGAGACTGACCGAGGGCCCGGGGTCAGTAGGGGGCCCCATGAGATGCCCCTGGTACCTTTCTCATAGGCTTTTTTGAGTTTGGGCAAGGACACAGGGGCCCCATGATCCCCTATTGCCCGGGGGCCCCATGAGTTGTCAGTCTGCCCCTGCTCCTCCTTCTACAAAGTTACAATGTACGGTCTAATCACTGGGGGAGGGGAGACTGAGGAAATGCTTCCTTCTCCTTCTACAAAGTTACAATGTACGGTCTGATCACGGGGGGAGGGGAGACTGAGGAAATGCTTCCCCCTGCCTGCTACAAAGTTACAATGTACGGTCTGATCACTGGGGGAAGGGAGACTGAGGAAATGCTTCCTCCCTTCTACAAAGTTACAATGTACGGTCTGATCACTGGGGGAGGGGAGACTGAGGAAATGCTTCCTCCTGCCTGCAGCAGACTGGTGTCATCATCTCACTGGACTGGAGCACAAGGACCACTTAGTAGAACTTCTCAACAATGATACTGTTGCTGAAAACGGTCCCTAAAGTCTCCAGGCCTGGAGGTGACCGAGGCCCAGGCCGAGAAATGGCTGCAGCGAAATAACAGAGACACCCACGCAGGCCACGGATGTGCTGTATAGATCGTTTGTTGGAGCGGATTTTCCCAGCGTTGCCTCGGTTTTTTCCTCGCACGCTATATCAGACTCCGGCAGGCCGCACTCCTCGGGGCCACTGGGGGATCTACAAGTTCCAGCATGCCCAGGATCTGGCACGGAACGGCGGCTGAGACGTGCGGCTCCTGAGCTGTATGGCAGTCGCGTCGCCCCGTGTCTTCATCAGACACCTTCGTCCAAGATGCCTCGAAGACACGCCCTTATGTAGATTTTTCCCTTCGATGCCCGGGGTCCAGACTGTGCTTAAATCTTTCCAGGCCAGCATGCGCCCAGGGAAGGGAAGAGCACTTTTGGACGCACAGACAGGAAAATGATGTGACTGCTACCGTGCAGGAAAGCGGCTTCATCTGCGGCAAAGCCGACATTAACCAGCAGTGTGTCAGAAGAGGCATGTCGGATGAAAAGGGGGCCCAGCAAAGCATGGATTATATTGCAGCTTACCAATTCTGAGATGTGGCGGCTGACTTCCTTTTCATTTTTAGGCTTTGTTTCCTTTATTTTCACCTGGTGATCCAGCCAGTAAGTCTGTTTTTTTTCCCAGCAGAACAAGCTCTCCTGCAGACGTAGCAGTTAGAGGGTTGAGACAAACAAATTATTACTGATGGGGGTGCTTACAATCAGTGCCGGGGCGAACATGAAAACTGCCCCCCTCCCTAAAATGTATGAGGTTTATGTGTCAGCAAAGATCTCCTCCCCTGCGCAAAAAAAAAAAAAATGAGTACTAATCTGCATGCTTACCCCCTAGGCATAAAGTCCCCCTCCCCCCAGTACAAATCTGCCCCCTGCTGAAATCCCTCCTCCCAGCAGAAATATTAGCTCCCCCCCGATATCTCCTCTCAGTTCAAATCCTCTCTCTGCCCAAATCTTCTCCCCCTCCCAAAAAAAAGAAATCACCCCTCCTAGCACAAATGCCCTACCCATTAAATTTCCCCTCCAAACACAAATCCTCCCCCCCCTGCACTCCAAAGCCCCCTGCCCACACAAATCCTCCTCCAGTCCCACCTCCTAGCAGAAATCCCACCCCCAAAATCCCCCTCCTAGCACAATACTCACCAATCATTCCTACTAGCACAAATCCTGTACCCCTCAAACTTACCCTCCGAACACAAATTCTCCCACCCACTCCAAAGCCCCCTGCTAGCAAAAATCCTCCCCCTCCCCTAGTCCCCCCTGCCTAGCACAAATCACACCCCCAAAATCCCCCTCCTAGCACAAACACTCACCAATCATCTCTACTAGCACAAATCCTCTACCCCTCAAACTACCCCTCTCAATACAAATCCCCCTCCTAGCACAAATACTCACCAATCATTCCTATTAGCACAAAATCCCCCCCCCCCCCTCCAAATTTCTGCTGTCACCTTTCTATGTTTCTATGATGGGGTCGCAGTTGGTGGGAATGTGCGGCTGTTTTCTATATGGACAACTGCCGTATTCCCTCTGGTTCCCTCCAGATGCTGACCTACGCTAGTTTCTAGTTTTAATCTGAAACAGAAAGTGGTGCAGGGGGTGCACATAGACCTGAAACAGTACAGCCTGCTCAGTACAGACATTCCCCCAGTACAGATCCACCCCCCCTCCCCAGGACAGATCTCCCTCCCAGTTCAGATCCTCCCCAGTACAGCTCTCCCCCTCAGTACAGATTACCCCCAACCAGTACAGGTCCCCCAGTACAGCCAGTACAGCTCCCCCCTCATTGCAATCAGTACAGCTCCCCCCTCATTGCAACCAGTACAGCTCCCCCCCAGTACAGCCAGTACAGATCCCCCTCATCGCAACCAGTACAGCTCCCCCCCAGTACAGCCAGTACAGATCCCCCCTCATCGCAACCAGTACAGCTCCCCCCCAGTACAGCCAGCACAGATCCCCCTTAATCGCAACCAGTACAGCTCCCCCCCCTCCAGTACAGCCAGTACAGATCCCCCCTCATCGCAACCAGTACATCTCCCCCCCCCAGTACAGCCAGTACAGATCCCCCCCTCATCACAACCAGTATTGCTCCCCCCTAGTACAGATCCCCCCTCATCGCAACTAGTACATATCCTTCCCTCCACAAGTAGAGCTTTACCCCAGTATAGATCCCCCAACCAGCACAGATGACCCCAGTAAAGCTCCCCCAAGCACAAGTACAGCTTACCCCAATACAGATCCCCCCCAGTATATCTCCCCCAAGTACAGGTTCCCCTCCCCAGTACAGATCTCCCTCCCAGTTCATGTCCTCCCAGTAAAGATCCTCGTCAGTACAGCTCTCCCCTCAGCACAGATCACCCCCAACCAGTACAGCTCCCCCCAGTACAGCCAGTACAGATCCCCCCTCATCACAACCAGTACAGCTTCTTCCCAGCACTGACAACCCCATCAGTACAGATCCTTCCTGTACAGCTCCCGCCACTACAGATCTCCCTTATCACAACCAGTACATATTCCCCCACCTGTACAGCTCTCCCCCCCAGTACAGATCAGCCCCAACCAGTACAACTCCCCCCAGTACAGCTCCCTCAGTACAGCCAGTACAGACCCCCCCCCCCCCCTCATCACAACCAGTACAGCTCCCCTCAGTACAGACAACCCCGCTAATACAGATCCTTCCTGTACAGCTCTCCATACTGCTGACCCCCCTCCCCACTGAAGCCAGTACAGATTTTCCCCCAGTAGAGATCTCCCCTTACCCCAAGTACAGCTGCCCCCATTGCATGTCCTGCACCCCACCTGTAGAGATTAACCCTAGTGCAGATCCCCCCAACCAGTACAGATCACCCCAGTACTGCTCCCCCAATTACAATTTCTCCCAGCACCAGTACAGCTTACCCCCAATACAGTTCCCCCTCCAGTACATCTCCCCCAAG